AGGGGGGGATACCCCTCATAGGATCGGGGATCCGGGGGTCCTCCTTCAGAAAAGTTCAGAAAATAGGCTCTCCCAAATTGAATTTTAAGCAGATTCAGCGTACAATGTGTGCACTCTTTGAAAGTTGAAAATTGACGAATAAAAACTCATTCAGCGTAGTTATTTCAACACATGGCCTTGGTAGGTATTTATTTCCATGGTGTTGGTAACCCTTGGTTTGGTAAACTTTGGTTCTATATTTCTGCCATGAAACCATTCACTTTTTTTCTCTCCATTAATCCATTTCCCCCTTTTTTCCCTCTCTATTTTTTCCTTACGTGGTCAGAGGAGAGGGGGGGGTGGCATGCCACTATGCCCCCTTCCTGGATCCGCCACTGCCTGTTCTCCATATCAATGCTTTTCAGGGATCATGCGGGAACAGAGATACGCCCTCACGTCGAGAGAGCGACGAGTATTGCGATCGAGCACAAGATTACGTTGCAACAATGTGGCCACAATATATCGACCTATTGCCACCTCTCCTCGACAATTGGCTGCTTCCCGTTATATCGCGCGAGGAGTTAATTAGATAAAAAACTAATTGCGATCGAGCACAAGATTACGTTGCAACAATGTGGCCACAATATATTGACCTAAATATTGCCACCTCTCCTCCTCAACAATTGACTGCTTTCCGTTACATCGCACGAGGAGTTAATTAGATAAAAAACCAATTGCGATCGAGCACAAGATTACGTTGCAACAATGTGGCCACAATATATTGACCTAAATATTGCCACCTCTCCTCCTCAACAATTGGCTGCTTTCCGTTATATCGCACGAGGAGTTAATTAGATAAAAAACTAATTGAGTAACATCAAGGAGAGATATGTGATGCGATTCCAGCTTTTAAACCATTTCGAGGGACCTTTTCTTAGCGTGTGGGTTTGTACCCGGTCCTTTGTTCGGGGCGCTCGGTTCGGAAGTATTGATGCACAATTCGCCTGGCAGCATTCAGCGATCAGTCACTGTATGTTGTCTCCACGGGGGGAGCCCGTGATTTATCGTCAGACCTGTGTCGTATCGATGGGGACGCAGGGCTTGCGTTGCCGCACCCTCGAAATTTCCCCGAGTTCCCTCGAATCCGACTCCTGTCGCTTCCCTCGAGGGGGTCGGGTTTCGCTTCTGATGATTCCGCGTCAGAACGACCGGGTCCGAAACGCGACCCCCTCCGATTTTACTCATTTTCGGCACCTTTTAAGCGTGCCAATACGCGTATTTTGATCACCTAAATAACTTAATTTTAAAGGGTTTTTCCCTCACGTGGACTCATTCCTGCCAAACGGAACTTTTGACGAGTGGATAAGATATGAGCGCTGTCTCCACTCGTCAAAATGGCGTCAAAGTGGAAGCTCAAAGTGGATCGATTTCAACGATAAGTGGCTAAAAGCCGGGACTTGATGCGATTGATGAGTGTTGCAAATCAGAATAGAGCGGCGCGACTCTTTTTTGATCAACAATCGCGAACAGATTGTACTTATCGATTCACTTTGAGCTTCCATTTTGACGTCATTATGACGCCATTTTGACGAGTGGTACGTCCCAGCAGAAAGTAAGTTGTGGTATCGAATGGTTGACTGCAGGTGATCAATTTTTCAATATTGACTTTTCTCCAGAGTTATAAACGAGCATGTTCATGGTATGCCACATGCAGCCCAATAATGAAAGCTATCCGATTTGGCGGAGGCATGATGCGGAAATTTTACTTATTTTTAGTTAACTAGCATCTAGAAATATTAAACCTGCTATGAGCTTGTCCCGAGCACCTTGCAACTCCCTCCTCCTCAAATGTACACGCAGTACATGTTTACTACGAAAGTTAAGTTCCCTGAACCTATCTCTGTGTGGACAAGACCTTCCATTTATATGAAATGAACGAAAAAATTATGAAAGAACGAACATAAATGTGATTTAATAATTTTAACTTCCGCCGCCGCGCCGCGCTGATCACACTGTGTTTGATGCAATGCGTGAAGTATTCATGCAGTCTTGTAGGCGCTATGCGTTTCTCGTCGCGCCGCCCGCTGCGCTGCTGACCGCAGCGACCGCACTGTCTTTGACGCAATGCGGGGAGTATTCATGCAGTCTTGTAGGCGCTAATATTTGTTACATGCCGACCGCCACGCCGCCGCGCCGAGGGTTTCTCCTTTTCATCTCAAGTCCTCGTCATCATTATGATCTCGGCGCCGCGCCATTCCAGGCCAAATTCCGTGTTTGGTTTTTCTCTTAAAAGGTGCTGTCTATTGTATTATAGAAAGACAACAAAATTAGAGATATCGACGGTGAAACTACCAAACCACGTATCTCGGTTGCGGTGTTTAAAAATCTACGCTCACATTTTATTTTTTTGAAGTAGACCAAATCAATATCGTTCCTTGAAATTTTCACGGAATTTTCTCCGCACGAAGAGGAAAAATCACAGAAATTTTCAAGACTGGACGTTCAGTAGTTTTTCATTTAAAAAATAAAGTATGACAGGAAGTCTGCGACGTCGCAAACCGAGATACGTGGTTTGGTAGTTTCACCGTCGATATACTCTCAGGAAATGAGAGATTTTGTAACCTTTTCTCGTTTGCAATTTTTTTCTGAATCCGATTTTTCTTTAAAGCTACATTTAAAAAAATTGCAAAATTTGCCGCCCCCTTAATTGCCCACGTGGTCGCCCCAAATCCGGCCCTGACATGTAACCACTTAAGCAAGTAAAAAAAACAAAAACGAATAAACCGTGGCAAAGAAAAGTCGAGCCTGCTTTGGGGTTACACGATTGACGAAGGAAAGGAAAAGTGCTTAATGAGACATCGAAAGAGGGGCTCTTAAACTTAGCATATTGAATGACGGATGCCGCGAATTTTTCTTTCCAAAAGACCTCATTTGCGAGGAATAGAAATCACCTGTGACAGGAAGGAGCTCAGCGCGGCCGCCGACGAAAGCAAAGAACCGAACGGCGCGCGAGAGGGCCGAAGAAAGCGATGGGCTAAGAAACCGGGCGGCGCGGCGCGGGGCACAGAGGCGGCTGATGAGTCCGGAATCGGAAATCCAGGGCTAAATGGGCCGGATTAGCGTAATGGCATAAACCCTGCGGAATTTCAAAGCGCGCCCCTCCCGCCTCCGGCTGAATTCCTGTTTCGCAGTTGCTACAATTGGCAACAAAATAATCACGAGCCTCGATTTTGTGTTCCGCCTCACCGACGACATGCCAACGCGATAGGCGCACGCGTATGTGCTCCCGTAACTTCATGAATAAAATGTAGGTTACAGTCTTGTCGGGAACATAATCTAATTGCAAGAAAGTTAGCGTGACGCATGATAAAGGCGCCCTCCCGTCCTTAATGTCATGAAACCTTCAAGTCGAAACTCTGGGACCCACTTATCCGATCGCTCGTTGCCGGAATCGCTGCCAGGGTAGGCACCTTTATGAAAAAGTACGGCCACAAATATATGCTGCCGTGATAGCGAACGGAGCCGAAAGTGAAAAAGTCAAGTTTTGAGAAAATGGGCTTAACAGCGTCTAAGCTGAAAATTTTATTGGGACTGGAAGAAGCCTCCAATTTTTGTCTAATTGCCAACGATCATCCGAAAGACTCCTACAAATCATTTGGATGATTAAAAATCGACCAATTTCATTTCAATTATATGAGAAGGGTAGTATTCATTTTCATGTTGAGCAAGACAGCTGTAAGTGCTATCTTCTGCATGCTTTCCTGGTTGCGTTTTGAACACGCGACAAACACATTTTAAGGTTAGACATTGGCAGGAAAGTGCGACATTTTACTTGAAAGCGATCGATCGTAAGAGTGGGATAGAGGATTTATCGAGCAGATCCTTGTCTTTTGCGACAGTGCGAGGCATATCGTCACC